TACGTACATAAGCTCCAAGATAACCAGGAAGTCATTATGTACATACGTGTTCATGAACACCCAGTGGAGAGTACCCATAACCGTAAGAATCTTGGTTCTTAAACCACCAGTACTTAGCCCATCTATCGGCCGTGGAAAAAAATAGAGTAGAAACATTTCTAGTCGGTTGAATTTGGACGCTTCTGTAGTGGCCCGTATGCTTCCTAAAATAGAGGTTTGTTAATGGGCACGACTTTAGGAAGTACTGGTGGTTTAAGGAACCTTGACTCCCGAAATGTTGCATATTAGTCCGAAGAGACCCACATAACCCCTCCTAGAGTGCCGCTTCGTTTTTTTAATATATGCGTGCATTTCAGGAGAGGTTCGGAACTTCGGAGTCACCTTTGCGTACCGTTGTTTCCAACTACTTCCATTCGAAGCATTCACGGTCAGAAGTACATTCAAGTTTCAAAGATGTATGCCATTGTTTGGTAAAATCCATTGAGCGTACTATGAAGAATCTTGTCTGGTTGATGAATGCTGAAAACATTTGAAATCGCTACCATCATCACATCGTCGAGGGAACGCATGCCATGAATCATCACTGCGACTTTCCGCAGTGATGCCTTCCATTTATGTTCATCATATGCACAAACCAAATTAGCTATTGGTGGACTTGATCATTTCCCCATGGGAATACCTTTGATTTGGCGCAGTATTTTCCCACACACTTAAAAATATGCATGATTGATATCATAGTAGATCGAGTCCACTAATTGCTCAATTTTGACAGTTCGCCATCCCCATGCGTCATTCAAGTTTGCTATTCCAAAATCTATGTACTTGCCACAGACTTTATAGCATAGGTGTGTTTTGTGTCTGCCCTTTACTTTAATAACCAGCCATTGCATTGCATCAACTGCCATCAAGAATATGTATGTGTTCAAGGTTATAAAACATATCTTTAACATCAAATATGGAGCAGCAAAGAGTTACACTTTCTCCATGCAATTTTCGTGCCCGTGCGTTACATTCTACGTTGCATAACGTACACGTACAGGGCCTTTCCGTACGAAACGTACAAGTAATATTTGTACGGGATCTGTACGGGAACCTGAACGGGAACCTGTACAAGAACCTGTACGTCTTGTACACCCCCGTACGAAGAAAAAAAAAAAAAAAATCATCAAAAAAATCCGAAAAAAAAAAATGTGATGCAACAGCACAAAACACGCAACATTTGGCTGAGCATTGCAGGGTGAATCCAATCTGCAGTTTTACACTGAAAAAGTTATATCCAACTTAATACCCCCTGACAATACTTTCGATGCCGCTGTTGATGCTTTGTTATATGTAGGGACGATCTTCTAGAGACATCTTTGTTTTTTGGAATCGTGTATGATGATCCATACATCCCATTTGCGTCCCATCGTGCTACTTTGTTCCGTCTCATCCCCGTGTGATGGGCCGTATCTATGTTTCTTGCTTGCAAGATAATTTCCTCTAGTGATTGGTCGACCTGTTCATAGTAGCATACATCACCCTCCCACCAATATGTTGGACATTCGATGTAGGTTCCCCTTGAATTTCTACCTTGATGTGAGAGGACGAATTTCGCAAGTTCTTTCTTAATTCTGTGTACCTCCATCACATGAACGCCCGGATGTGTGTATCCCATCTGATCCGTGCAGTTCATCATGTCCGGAGGGACGGGTGAATGACACCTTGGCTGTACTGGTCTTGTCTGCGCAACCTTCATGATAATTCCTTGCATCATACGGCCTCCCCATCGGTTATCCATGACTGGACCGGGTACATTCTTCAAATTCCAAAGTACCTCATTGTGTGTAATCTCGCGTATTAATCTGCACAATACGTCACATGATCCTGGAGTTTCGGTAACTGAGATCATCGAGTATGCCTGCATCCTGTGTGTGTGTGTGTGTGTGTGTGTGTGTGTGTGTGTGTGTGTGTGTGTGTGTTGGTGTGTGCAATGTGTGTGTGTGTGTGTGTGTGTGTGTGTGTGTG